AATATTTTTTTTCAATTTAAAATTCTTTTTAATTCTTTTCTCTTCAAATTTTTTACTTAAAAGTAACTTTTTGTAAAATATTTTCTATCTTATATTATCTTTATTTTTTAATTTTTTGTAAAAATAATTTTTTTTTAAGTTTAAAATTCCTTGTAACTCTTTTCTCTTCATAATAAAACTTAATTTTTCAATTTTAACTAAATAATATTTATATATTCTTTATTTAATTTTTGTAACTTTCTTTTATTTTGTTTTTATTATATTTTTTTGAATAAATATTTTTTTTTTCGATTTAAAATTCTTCTTGATTCTTTTCATTTAAAACACAATTATTTTTTGCATTTAACTCTAATTTCACTCTTATTCTGCGTTGCTAAAATATTGATTTCTCTTAGCCTTTAACCTTAATTTCAATGTCCCTCTTTCGATTGTGCTAAAAATACCCAACAACTTCACGCACAATTGAAACAATTACCTATATACCCAATCTTTAAACCTTCAATTTTTTCTGCTGTATATTTTAATACTAAATTTTGATTTTTGTTTTTTTATGAGATTTAACAAATCGCTCCCAAAATACCGTGAAATTTCAGAAGAAATTGGAGTTTAGGTTTTTTTTTTTTTTTTTTTTTTTTTTTTTTTTTTTTTGGCTTTTGAGAGGATAAACTTTATCTTATTCTGTAAGCTTAAATTCTCTGTATAGCAGTTCACTTAGACATTGTTTTGAGCAGTTAACTTTGATTTTTAGGGCTTTCATTTATATGAGCTGCGAAGTTCAGTTTTTTGGCTTTGCTATTGTGCATATCAGTTTGGGTTCCATTTTTTTCCCTGTGAGTCATACTTAAAGTTGACATGTAATGTGCCTACTTTTGCAAGTTCAAGGCAGGTACGTATCTCCAGAAGTCTGGACCAGTCGAACTCTTGCAAGTGATGATTGTGTATGACATTTGGTGCCAATAGATAGAAGCACTTCCGAGAATCTACGTATCAAATATTTTTGTTGGATGAACGGTGTTTTTATATTCCTATTCGCCAAATTAGAATGCACTGCTTTCTTCTTTGTAATCTATGTTACAAACTTACAATGGCCGTTTTGGTCTCTTTTGTAGACAGCTTTCAGTCAATCAATTTGTAAAATGGCATTGTGCAATCATCTCCTAATATATACTTGATTTCATTTGTTGCTGGCAAACTTCAATGAATGAACAAAAGCTTGGTAATCAATCAGTTAATAACAAATTGATCCAAAACAAAGTTAGCAGGAAGTTCTATATGAGACCATTGGTTGAATTCTATGTGATTAAGATAACATGAGACGTATTGTTTTGTTTGAGTTTGTACCTTACATTTCAATAACGGATTGTTTCAAAAATCTCAAGTGTCGTATCCAACCATCCTTGAAGTCACAGAGACCATTTTCAGTAATTGATGAGTACCAAAAAACTAACTTTCAAGAAAAAAATGTTTCAACACTTATCTATGTTAACATTAAACAAATGAACATGAAAAAATCAGCATTACACTGAAGAAAATTTCCAAGTTTGGCACTGGAATGGTTAAGTTGAACCTACTCCTGCATGGGCTTTTTAGTTTTTAGCAGCATTGTCCTGTCTTCAAATGGGAATCAAGAAATAGCTTAGTCCAATGGAGTAATTTAAACACCTGGACTAGGTGGATTACATCCTGGACTATTATCAAGATATAAACTTTCGCTACCTCGATTTCAACAGGGTTCAACCTGCAGAACCATGCCTATCTCACTACCCCAACCCCACCAAAAAAGAAAAAAAAACTCCTCTAAGCCAGTTGGTCCAACATCAGCATCTCTTAGTTACTGCCCTCCTCACCCACCCTACCACCATCAGAAGAAAACTCCTTTTCGATTCCAGTGAAAATGTTTGGGTAATGTTGGATTCAATATACTATCAAGAACTTTGTCGTCGACCGGATCTGGGGATAAGTGTACCGTCGCTGACCTGAAGGACGGAGGCTAGTTTTATTGGTTTGAGAAGTTTCCAATTTAGAGAACGGAGGTAAGAGAGGATTTAGGTTTGAAGGGGAGACTACGATTTTTGAGGCCTTTTGTTTTTCTCTCTTTTTTTTTTCTTTTAAATTGCCACGTCAGCCTATTTTAAAATTCTGTGAGTCTCCTGTGAAACTAATCCTGTACGTGTAGACCCGCTCGCCCCCGCCCGGGGTTCAAAGCATTTTTATTTCTTATTTCTTACAACTGCAATTTGATGCTGGACTTCGTCCATCCATCCCTTCAATGGTCCTCGAGAATTATTCTAGTCTGTTCTTTTTTACTTCGTCATCTTGTCTGAACACCCTATTCTAATGACGGATGGGATCTAATACAGATTATGCCAACCATGGATTTCCATTTTTCATCGATGATATGAGTAATCATATGTTACTTGATCTAAATTACAATTAAGCTTGTCAACGAGCCGAGCCGAGCCGACTCGCGAGTCAAAACTCAAGACTTGAGCTCAACTTGAGTAAAATGATTTGACCTTTTTTGTGAGCTTGAGCCGAGCCGAGCCGAGCTTTTCCCCGACCAAGAAATCTAGGCTTAGGTCTTACCGAATCAAGCTAACTTGTAAGGATATATATATATATATATATTGCGACAATTGTAACATTTAAAAAAAATAAATTAAAATTTGCACAATTTTTATGAATTATAAATTAAATAACAGTTACAATCCTCTCATTTTTTGGGGTTTGGGATCGGCTACAATCAACGCAGATGAAGTTAAAATTGTACACGAATAAAATATTCATACAATTTTTTTTGAAACAAATAAATTTAAAATATTATCCATTTTTTTAAAAATTAATCAATTTAAAAACTTACAATATCTTTATGCTTGGATCTGCTACAACTCTTCGGCCATTATATCGTCAACTTGTTTTTTGAATATGTAATACCGCGCATTCTAAGTCCTTTAAGTATATTAAAGCCTCCAATATATATATTTTTAATTTTGATCGTTCGTCTAATAAAACTCAGCCGCATAAACTAAATGCAGCCTCCGATGCCACCATAGACATCGGAGATATTAGTAGATTACGTGCAATTTTTTTATACAATTGGATATTGCCTTTCATTACACCTCTACCATGATAGAAAACTAAATTTCTGTAATTCTTTTGATTGTAACACACTACTAACGCCACAGACATATACCTAGCTAACACAGAGGAAATTTCAAAATTTGTAACACTAACATCTATTCCTCTAGATATTGATGAACTATAGCTAAATGAGGAAACACTTGTATTGGTGTCCAAATAATTTCATAAATCATCTGAATTTGTAAAATATTTCTCGAAAAAGAATTTTAGGAAGTAGAACTGCTATGACCTCCTTTTCAGCATAATAGTTATACATTTCACATAATGTAGATTCTATATGTACATTTGATAATTCCAAATTTATTAAATTTGAAATCTCCTTTATAATAGCTTTTGTGTCAATTAAATTAAGTCGATAATCCATCACCGAAGTTAAAGAAATAAAGAGGGCAATTCTTCACAATATTTACGAAATTTTAACTCCATCGAGTAAACTACATCAACAAAGATTGGCAAATTTCTATATATATGAAAGTATTGTAAAATAAGTGAAGATGTAGGGTAATTAACATAGCTAAATTCCTTTGTGGCATCGAAAAAAGGTTTTTCTTCACATAAAATGTAATAGACCATTTACAATCTTCCAAATTATGTTCAGGTCCAAATGTATGTCTACCATTATAATATAATGAATTATTTTATCATAATTTTCACACGAATGTAACATAAAATGTGTAGAGTTCCATCTATGTTTTACATCAGTGACGAATGATTTTTCTTGTAAGCCATACACAAACTGTTAAATGCTTACTTTCTGGCTGGTGACACAATAATAAAATTTATTGCTTCTTTAATTTCATCTAAAGGCGATTTTATATGTTCTAATCCATCTTTTACAATCAAATTGATTATGTTGCATACAAAAAATTTTCAAATACAGGGTTAAGGTCATTAATAAATTTATTGATAACAAGTTTGTTCACACCAGCATTATCAAAAGTAAAATTTCAAATAATTTCTTACTTACCATATTCTTGTATAATATCTTTTAAAATCATGTATATATTAGTTGCATTATGAAGATATTTTACACATTTAAATGCAATAATTCTTTTATGTAGAAGCCATATGTGATCAATATAATGAGTCGTAGCAACAATATAACCTTTTTTATTAACATCGGTCCACAAGTTAGAGGTAAATGATATAACTCTAGTAAAAGTTTTTAGTTATTCAATAGCAACTTGTTTTCTTTTTTTAAATAATTTCACAGTATTTGAACGAAGAGTATTTTTACGATAAGAAGTATACCTGGGTTGAAGATAATTTTGTATGAGTCGGGTGAAGTGTGTTGAACCTATCATCGTAAGCGGCATCTCTACTGCAGCCACTTATGCAGTCGTTGCAAAGGTGAAAAAAGTAGAACTGAAATCGTCAAACACTAGTTTGATTTGTTTCGGTCCAGATCGACTGGTTTCGCTTTGCAACTCCTCAATATGTGCCTATTCAAAATGCGATGTGTTTGAACCGAGCTTCCAACTAAGCTCTTTGCCATAGTAATTGCAACATACTTTTCAAATATCAACTCCATTTTGAACACCAGCCTTTTTATGTGTCATATGTTGCCAACAATCTAAAGATTATTTTTTCGACCTTTTAGTAGATTTAAGTACTTTTTCCTCTTCAATATCCTCCAAATTAATTAGAATATTTTGAGATGCATCGTAGCCGGCTAGAGTACATGAACTACCCTTAAATTGATTAATCTTATCACTAGTAAAATCCATCTATATTATATAATTATTATAACAAATGATACTAAATATTAGAGTAAAGAAATTAGAGATTGAAATTGAAAGTTGAAACTAGAATATTGTAAGATAAAATCAATTGAAGAAAATTGATATGAAACTGAAAAATTTAACCCCTATTTATAACCAAAAAATCAAACACATATTTGCTTATTTAAGGCAGCCATAAGACAGCATATTATTTTTAAGGCTTGGGCCAAATGGCCTGTAAAATAGGTCGACCCCAACCTCAACTCGATTTTCCCAAGCCAAGGGCCGGGCCGCCTCGGACTTTCCTCAAGTCGAGCCATGGGTCGCTTGAGCCCAATTTATATCCTTAATTACAATTAGTGTTTGTATTGATAAGTTTTGTGGAGTGCAACTGTGGAACAAAGTTGAAAAGAGAAATAAATCACATTCTAAACATGAAACAAATTAGTCCTGTATAATGGGAAATGCAGTTGTGAACAGGTTTCTTTTCACATCCTTGTCATGAAGTTGTCAATCCCATTCAGCTTTGTCTACATTTTGGATAATATATTGTTGCTTGCACTATTGTGATTTTAATAGCCTTAAACATTTTTGTGCTCTTTTATTATTTAGGACGGAATGAGATGAACTAATTCTATTCAGTATGTTGCCATAATGCATAATTAAAAGAAATAATTTTTAACTTGAATAGCCCTATACTTGGTCAGATGAATAGTTGTGATAGTAACATATGTATCTTTCATTTGATTGATATTATTATACATCTTTTGCAAGTTCATTGAACGGACACATAACTAAATTTTTATTTTATTTTCTTGCTCCTTGCCCTTTTGATGCTTCTCAATAGTTCAGTAGCAATATGGTTCAAGCATTATCCAGGAAAGGAAACAAATGATTGTGTTGGATCATGATGCAAATTATAAATCAACAATTTTATGCCAAGTAGTAGTAGGAGAGCTTCCGAAAACTATGAAGAGAGAACTCTCTTGAATGAAAGGTTTATATCTCCATGCTGTCAAATACGCTCACTCTTCACAAAATTTGTTGATATAAATGGGTTGTGAGATACTCGTGCAACATGTTTATATGGCAGAGTTGAATCAACTTTCAAATTGGTAAATTTGTTAAATATATTTTTCAGTTAACCCTGTCCAATCCTCGGTACTAAATGACCCATGCTTTTTTTTTTGTTTTAAGGCAGTGCATTCTTGATGCTGAAAATTTAAGTGTTATGCCCTAAGTTCAATCAACTTTGGACAAAAACACTTTTAATATATAATTGGTACAATTTTATAGCAGATCTATTATTTAACTAATATTTAATTAAATTAAATAATAGAGTCCATAGATTCAAATATTTGTAATTTGTCAATAATAAAGAGTTGTGATTGTGAGATACAAATTGCATATGATTGAATCTTAAATCATCCGTGGTTGTAAGTAATAACGAGATACAGATATCGTTATTACAGATAGGCCATCACGTGTGACATTTCTTACTTGTGAAGTAAGTAACTGATCTCACAAGTTAAAGTGTTGTGACATTTAAATGAACACGTAAATATTTTGTTATAGAACAAAACATTGGAGACCCACTGGGAGATTTTACACGGATAACTATCGAGTGTCAGTGGTTAATATCTAACGTTCAGTAGTAAAATTGGTCTTTTGACTTGAGGCACTATATGAGGGCAGTCAAACTTTGGTGATATTGGATGTTGCTCTATCAAGTGTCATTAATACTGTATCGTTCAAGCATGTCAAGAATCATAAGAATGCATAACTAATAGGGGATTCGCCACTCTTCGATAGTAATAGCTTATGATCTACATTTCATTCAGTTAAGTTGATAACGAAATCTTTGAAAAGTGTACTCAGAAATCGAAAAGAAGTTTTCGACTTATATTGACTTAATATTGGAATGAAAGGTATGATCGATAAATGAGATTGACACTTATCCATATCTTGTAATTGATTGGATCATATTGATGAAGGGATTAGAATTTCATGGTAAATGAATAAGTTTGGTTTTATTATATCACGTGACATTTTCTATCACATAAATTGCCCTAGTACATTGCTAGATGTTAATCTGGGACGGCGGATATGAGTTGGTAATAATAAAAATAATTTTTTAATTTATCAATTTTGATTAGATCAAGATAATATTTCACGTCATTAGGCATCGTGACTAGGAATCTAATGGGTTACACACAGAAGGAGAATTAGAAGATTGAGATTTACCAATTAATAAATTTAACAAGTGTTGGATAAATTAATTAATTGGATTACTTATTTATAGATTCGAATTAATTAATTCATGGACGAATTTAATTAAGTGGGTTAATTAAATATTGGACTGAGTGAGGAGATGGGCCAAGTCCATTTGGACTTACATAAATAAGCAGCTGGGGTTTTGAATTTGTAGAGAATTTTCATTCTTCTTGCTAGCACAAAAAAAGAAAACTCTGGTTCTCTTACAATCCTGTTCTCTGTGTGGATTTCAATTGGAGCCTAAACAATTTGACAGTTGTAGGTGACAGATCAAGGTTGCCGGAATAAAAGAAAAGAAAAGGGGTTTGTAGATTTCGCAAAATGTATAATTTCTATCACAATTTCTTTCTAAACATAAAGCAGATTTTTCGTGGGAATTGAAATTTGTTGTATTTTTCACTATGTATGATTAAGTAAATTTTCAATAGACAATACATTACATTTGAATTTATATATTAATAAGGTGCAAGTGCCAAGGAATTCAATTAAAAAGGTTCAAATAACACAAGCAAAACTTTTATCTAGCCTCGATTTATCAAACAAGGATTTTCTTTGTTTACCATAAATGCCAGGGCCATATATTGATCTATCATATCCTTTAGAAGAGGGCCAAGAGGCTATTGTAAGGGCACAAACAAGGTAATTAAAAGGCAGTCTAACACAATGAGCCGATTAAGGATCCAAGTCTTTTTATGCTTGAAAACAATATAATTGTTGTACTGAAAGCTACCATCATGGTTGCCAAGGAAAGAAATGAGTTAAGAAGACCTATGATTAACTTATTTGGGAGGGAGTATAGAAATCTACTTCAACATAGCGTGAAGTGAGAACGGACAAGAACATCAACAAAGAAGTAATAGACGAAAATAAAGAGACCGCATTTCAAATGACAAAGACAATAAAAGGCATTTCCTTTTTGAAGATGGGTATTCCATGCTCAACACTACTACCACTTAGCACAGTTATGGCCACGGCAAACACAATTGTGGCGATGAGAGTTCCAGTAAATGTACATGATTTAGCCATTGCTTTCAACCAGTCTTCTCCCTTTTCTACCAAGTCCTCGTGTTTCTTCAGTAAAAACCATTCCAAGCGTCTTCTATTGATATTAGTTTGTCACTTTTGTTGAAACAATTTGTAGTGTCTTTATGTATTATAATTAAGTCCATGTAATGTTTATTTTGGTGATTAAAATGTCTATCAAAGTATGGTCTTAGGTTGTCCATAGTATGGTAGTGGTTGGCAGGAAGTTGTTGATCAAAAGCATGGTTAACCTTTTGTGTAGCAGCTGCTTATGTATGAATTAAAGTAACTCATTTTCCTTTTTAGAATTAATCTTTTCTTCTTCTTTGTGTTACAATTCGTTCAGTGGTATCAGAGCACTAAGGATTTTAGAAGAAAAAGAAATGGAATAAAACAGAAAAAAGAGAGAAAACAAGTGAGGAAATCTCCACCAAAACATTTTTCACCATTTCACCAAAAAATCATATCTGAGAGTGATGGCTTCAATTAGTTTTTCAGCTCTACTATCTTCAGTGTTTACATGGGAGAACTACGATTTTTGGGCTGCAAAGATAAAGGTTTACTTGAAAGCATATGATCTGTGGGAGTTCACAGAAGCAGGTATTGAACCACCTCCTCTAAGGACAAATCCTACTATTGCTCAATTGAAGCAATATAGTGAGGAGGTTGCAAAAAAGTTCAAGGCTTTATCTTACATCTAATCTGTCGTTTCTGATGCAATATTCACCAGGATTATGACTTGTGAGACAGCAAAGGAAGCTTGGGACATATTGCAAGAAGAGTTTAGAGGCAATGCAAGAAAAAGGCAAATGCAAGTTTTAAATCTAAGAAGGGAGTATGAAACCTTGAAGATGAAAGACTCAGAATCTGTCAAAGAATATTTTGATAGGCTGATGAAAGTGGTGAATCAAATAAGGCTGTTGGGAGGTAACTTACTTGACAGGAGAGTTGTGGAGAAGGTGCTGATCAGTTTGCCAGAAAAATTTGAGGCAAAAATCTCTTCTCTTGAAGACTTTAGAGACTTGCCTTCTATAACCTTGTTTGAGTTGGTTAATGCCTTGCAAGCTATTGAGCAAAGGAGGCTAATGAGACAGGAAGAATAGGTAGAAGGTGCCTTGTTTGTTAAAGGAAAACACAAAGTGCAAACAAGCTATGGTGTGAAGAAGCATCAACAAGAGAAGAAGAGGGTTGAAGGCAGCAAAGCTACTGATAAAAGTGATGCTTATCCACCTTGTCCTCATTGCAAGAAAATTGGCCATTCTCCAAAATGGTGCTGGTACAGGCCAGGAGTTCAGTGCAGAGGTTGTAAACAATTTGGACGTATTTAAAAGGTGTGCCAAAAATCTCAAGGAAAAATAATCCAAGCAGCATGCACAGGTTGCTGAAAATCAGCAACAAGATCAGCAAGAATAACACTTATTCACAGCTATAAATCACAATATGTGTAGTGATGTTGGATAGTGGTTGCACACATCATATGACTTCAGATTCCAGCATCTTTGTCGAACTTGATAGCAATTATAAATCAAAAGTGAAGGTAGGAAATAGTGAGTATGTCAAAGTAAATGGGATTGGTGGGATTTTTGTGCAGACTTCAACAGGTATTAAGTACATTTCTGATGTCCTTTATGTGCCAAACATAGATCAAAACTTGGTGAGTGTAGGTCAATTAATTGAGAAAAATTATACACTCATATTCAAAGATAATTGCTGCATTATAATGGATAGAAATGGAAATGAAGTGATGACAGTTCAAATGAAACAAAGAAGTTTTCCTTTAGAATGGAAAAATATGTCATCTCATGCATTCTTTAGCACTATTGAAGAGTCTTCTCTTTGGCATAAACGTTTGGACATGCGAATTTCACCTCACTTAAGCAATTGAACAAGCTGAAACTTGTAGAAAACTTGCCTATCATTTGTGGTGAAAGTTGTGTTTGTGATGTATGTCAACTTGGAAAGCAAACCAGATTTCCATTCCCCAAAAATCAGTCAAGAAGAGCTACAAATAAGTTGGAATTGATCCATTCATATGTGTGTGGTCCAATGAGAACACAAACTCTTAATGGCAGTAGATACTTGTGTTGGGTGTATTTTCTAAAAATGAAATCAGAGGTTGCTGGTGTATTTCAAAAGTTCAAGAATCTAGTAGAAAATGAGAGCAATTGTAGAATAAAGGTCATCAGAACCGACAATGGAATTGAATACAAGTGTGATCAGCTTGACAAGTTCTGTGATGCTGTTGGAATCAAACACCAATTGACAATTCCTTATACACCTCAGCAAAATGAAGTGTGTGAGAGAAAAAATAGGATGGTAATGGAGATGGCCAGGTGTTTGATGCTTGAGAAAAATGTTCCAAATGTCTTTTAGGCAGAAGCTGTAAACACAACAACTTACCTACTTAACAGATTACCTTCAAAAGCTTTAAACAAAACAACTCCTTTTGAAGCATGGTTTGGGGTTAAGCCTAATGTCTCACATTTGAAAGTGTTAAGGAGAATATGCTACACTCACATACCTGATGTTAAAAGAGACAAACTGAGTCAAAAGGCAGAGGTTGGAGTGTTGGTTGGCTACTGTGATAATGCTAAAGGATACAGGGTTTATAATCATCAAACCAAGAAGATGATGTCCAGCAGGGATATTAAGGTCGATGAAGGATCTTCATGGAATTGGGACGCAAGTACCTTGGATAAAGTACCAACTCCAAGGCTGATTTCTCATGAAAATGAAGACATTATCACCAATGAGGATGAATGAAATGAACCAGGACCTGATAGCGACTTAGACTCAAAAACTGCTGTGCTAAGGACCAGGCCACTTGTTGATGTATATGCCAGATGTAATGCGGATGTGATGGAGCCTTCAAACTTCAATGAGGCAGTGAATTCACATCGTTGGATGGCTACAATGAAGGAGGAGCTTAGCATGATACAAAAGAATGGAACGTGGGAGTTGGTTGACAGACCAAAAGACAAAAATGTAATTGGAGTTAAATGTGTGTATAAGACCAAACTGAACTCAGATGGATCAATCAACAAGCTAAAAGCCAAGTTAGTTGTGAAGGGATATACTCAGCAATATGGTGTTGATTACACAGATACATTTACTCCAGTGGCCAGGTATGAAACCATCAGATTGTTACTTGCAATTTCTGCTCAAAGTGACTGGAAAATTCATCAATTGGATGTTAAGTCGGCCTTCTTAAATGGCCACTTAAATGAGGAAATCTATGTTGATCAACCAGATGGTTTTCTGGTGGCTGGATTTTACAAATTTAAGGGTATTTGTTTTTTTGTTCTTCACAATTTTGGTCCTGAATTGGCACAATATGTCTCATTTTTTTTTTTGTTATCTATTTTTCTAGTACTATGAAAATGTTAACATTTTAGTTTATGTAAGTTATTTATGAATTTATTTCTTACAATTATGTTTTTCATTTTTCTTTCATGTATATAATGGTTATTGGTCATTATTGGACAAATTGAGTTTGAGTTTGTAAAATGAGCAAAGATTGAATTGGGTATATTCTGGTCAACATGTACAAACAAGCTCGGTTAAATGTATCTTTATATGATTATTCCGGATTATTTGAATGTTGTTTGAAGTGTTGGATCATTTTATTTTCATTCTTGAAAATGTCTTTGCATTTATATATAAAACTTATGGCTGAGTATATGAAAAGTAGTGCTATTGGAAGCTATAAGTATAACATGTATCATGTTTGTCATAAATTAGCCCTTCATGTCTTGGAAAACCAATATGAATGTGAGATGTAATGTCCATTCTAACAGTAACGTAATCATCTGTCGACAGATGAACTATCGTTCTCGACAGTTAGGCTCTGAAATTCTTGACAGTTGATTGCAGAAGCCAAATTTTGTTAAGCTTCTCTTCTACGTGCAATTTTAGGGGTTGAAATGTATAACATATCATTTGAGCACCATTATTACTTCATGAATTATAGACATAATAGTTATGGATCCATCTGTAGAGATAAACTATCATTCTAGATAGAGAAGTCACCGACCCAAAAGGTGCTTGCCTGGACTACCAGAGGGTCCATCGGCTAGCTAGGTAAATGAGGGGATTGGTATGTATTATTAGGAGGAAGAATCAATCATCATCTCCTTGTATGTTGATGATCTTCTAATAACCGGCAACGTTGAAGCTTTAATTGACAGAGTAAAAGCTGAAATGATGTTGGGATTTGAGATGGCAGATTTGGGAAAAATGAAGTATTTTCTTGGAATGGAAGTGGATCAATCACAAGAAGGTATTTTTATCTGTTAAAGAAGGTATGCCAAGGAGATTTTGAAGAAATTCAGTATGGAGAATTGCAAACCAATTAGTACTCCACTAGTTCAAAACTTGAAGCTGGTAATCGTATAAAGGTGTCTAATCGAAAGGTACATGACCCAACAGTTACGAAGTTCCCTATGCTTGTAGAAAATAGTAAGTTCCGTAGAGGGGTAGTTATATAATGTCAAATTCTTATATTTTACGTTAAATATGTTTAGTTGAAGATAAACGTATCATTTCGATGTTATACTTCAAATTTTGGTAGAAACTGTACTGGTGAGAAAATTTATAGAAGCTTGGTTGGATGTCTATTGTACCTAACAATCACAAGACGAGACATCACCTTTGCTACAAATCTGCTTTTCAGATTCACGCAAGAACTAAATAACTTACATTTTCAAGTTGCAAAAAAGGTCTTGAGATACATCAGAGGGAATGCAGGGATCTGGTTTAGGAAGTCAGAAAACCTGGTTTTACTGATAGTGATTGGGCTGGTTCAGCTGATGATATGAAAAACACCTCTGGCTATGTATTATATCTGGGATCAAATGTCATTTGCTGGAACTCAATAAAGTAAAAAAACTATGGCTCAATCAACAGCAGAGGCAGAGTATGTGGCTGCATCAGAAGCCACTAACCAAGCTATTTGACTAAGAAAAATGCTGGAGGATCTTAACTATAAACAAAGTATTGCAACTGTCATTTATTGTGACAACCAATCAGCAGTTGCAATGGTTAACCCAATGTTTCATGGAAGAACCAAGCATATAAAGATCAAATATCATTCAATAAGAGAAGCACAAGAAAATGATGAAGTGAAGCTGATGCATTGCAATACTAAAAATCAATATGCTGACATTCTTACCAAGTCGGCAGATGAACTGTTGAGTTGTCATGCAATATGTTGCCTATGGATCTGTATTTTACTTGTGAAGTTGAACATATATTTGCCTATCTGTGAATGATGTGAGAATGATAATGACGATGTAAGTTGAAGACAGTAATGCAAGTTGAGAATGTGATGGGGAATACCGTAAGTTGAAAATACCTTTATGCAAGATATGTACGCTCCAATAAAATTAATAGGTTATAAATATGATAAAAAAGAATAAAGATAATGAAAACGTTAAATTGTTGATTGCTGACATTCTTACCAAGTCTTTATCCAAAGGGAGGTTTGAAACACTAAGAAAATGTCTTGGTGTTTCTAGCAAAAGTGTCAAGGAGGAGTATTGATATTAGTTTGTCACTTTTGCTGAAACAATTTGTAGTGTCTTTACGTATTATAATTAAGTCCGTGTAATGTTTATTTTGGTGATTAAAATGTCTATCAAAATATGGTCTTAGGTTGTCCACAGTATGGTAGTGGTTGGTAGGAAGTTGTTGACCAAAAGCATTGTTAACTTTTTGTGTAGGAGCTGGTTATAGATGAATTGAAGTAACTCATTTTCCTTTTTAGAATTAATCTTTTCTTCCTCTTTGTGTTACAATTCCTTCACTTCCCATTAGAATTTTCCTCTCTCATATAGCTTGGTGTGACAAAACTTTGAACCTCCTCCATGAAAGCCGCAAGGTTAAGAGCAAGATCATTTTATAGAAACTTTAGAAATGCCAAGTGAGAGAAAACATCTACAACTTAGAAACAATGTGTATTGTGGGGATTAAAGTTGAATTTTTTAGTGGATTGTGATAACAGTTTTTGAATGGTGTGGTTGAATTATTTTCAACAGTAGTAGAGTTCGATAATGACAACATAATGAGCAATAATGGTTGCAAACAATAATGACAACAAAGCTAT